TCCACAGCAAACTCCCCACCAGTGACTGGAAATTTGTCATCGTCGGTCCTGCTGACGCGGTCTCCTTTGCCGCGTGCGGAAGTAGTTCTGCCAAATCTGACTCTGCCGCGTCTTCTCCTCCGATCGGCGATCGCACCGAATTCGCTTTGTCCAATCCAAACTTGGTGAGCATCTCGACGATTGCAGCCTCTTGGTCAAACCTGTAACCACTGAGCTCGTCGTACTGCACGCGCATACCAAGAAAATTGCTGGCAGCACCGAGATCCTTGAGCTCCAGGACGGACATCTCAGCGAAGAACTGGGAAACCCTGCTCTTGTCCGTGCCAATAAACTGTAAGTCATCCACGTACGTTCCGACGACCGTCATTCCGCCGCTGTCAGCCTTGAAGTACAGGCACGCGTCCGTAATGCACTGGATGAACCCAAGCTTGGCCAGTTCGCGATGAAGGTGTCCATGCCAAAGGCATCCTGCTTGTTTCAGATCGTAAAGGCTCTGACCAAGAAGTAGGCCAACTTCATCCACGCTCTCAGCTCCGAGCGTCCTCAGCTCTTCCTCCGTGATAACGAGTCCGTCGGGGACGAACAGCAAAATCTCGATACCCTCCTCCGTTTTCGCCTTTACATACGCGTTTGGAACATCGCCGTGTCTGGCAGGCACCTTCCATATGATCGCAATGACGAAGATGAACTTGACACCAGTCATAGTAATCACAGCCGCAAACACGAAAAAGAAGTTAACGCCGAACTTTTGCTCGTTGCCACAGGCGACTAGTCGAGCCTTGTACTGCTCGATCAAACCCGTCCCTGTTCGTTTCTTCTTGTACACCCACTTAGTATGCAAGCGAATGCTACCAGGCTCGAGCTTGGCCAGCTTCCACGTGTTATTCGCCTGTAGAGCTTTAAGTTCTTCCTTTTCAGCTGCCTCCCAAAGCGCGCTCTCGGCGCACTTCCGCGCCTGCCTGTAGTTCTTTGGTTCCGGGTCATCAGCGTGGGAATTGACATCCTCAACTTCGGATATGGTCAAAGCCACAGGTTCAGTGTTCAGCCTCGACTCTTCAGCCTTCACGTCTCCATCAGCTTCAGCACGGCGGCGCGACTTGCGGCATGAGCGACGAGATCGTGGTGTGGAACGTGGTGCCGGTGGCGTCGTTGTCGTGGGAGATTGAGCAGTCGGTGTCTTCACATCGGATTTCTCCTCCAACGCGCGGATGTTCTGCACATGCCTCGTGACGACCATCTTGTTCACCGAATGCAGGTACACCTTGTACCCCTTGGTCGATTCGTCCTTGCCGACGACGACGCCCTCACACGCCCTCTTCTTCATGGCGCGCTTTCCAGGGTCACGAATCACAGAGCACTTTGATCCAAACATGACAATGTCGCGAAGGCTTGGTGCTTCGCCAGTCAGCACTTCGAGTGGCGACTTCCGATCCGCGTTAGCGCGTGACGAGCTCCGGTTCAGCACGTACGTCGCGTACTCAGCCGCGTCACCCCAGAAGTTCAGCGGCAATCCTGCACCGAACACCATGCAACGAGCCATGTTGAGAGCCGTGCGATGCATCCGATCCGCCTTGCCGTTTGCAGCTTGATTCCCGACTTCTGACACCTGACGAGCCACTCCGTTTTCTTTGCAGAAGAGATCCACGTTTCGGTACTCACCTCCACCGTCCGTGCGGAGAACATGCACACGAACGTTGAACCGTTTTTCGAACTCGACAATAAAGTCCTCGAACTTCTTTGCAGCCAGATTCTTCTTCTTTGCCATAAACACCTTTGCAGTAGTTAGACTTGTGGTCCACGAAGTTAATCATGTAGCAATTACCTTGGCGGTCAAGTGGCGTCATGGGACCCTTCAGGTCACTGCAGATGACTCCTCCGACTTTGTCGATCGGTGCATATTCCCCGGTGTCCTTAGTCGGTTGATTCGCTCGAGTCTGTTTACCCTCAGCACAAACCATGCAGGGCTTACGGTCACGATTCGATATCGTGATGCCGGATGCGGGGTCATTTGCCATACGCTCAATGGTGTCCAATGCCAAGTGAGCGAAACGTGCATGAAAGCCCATCAACGTGTCCGTGGCGAACCCGGCGAGGCTGTGTCCGTACTCGTGTCCACCACGTTCATGATCAGCTGCTCCATCTTAGCATTGTTCGTAGCTACCGATTCAAGTCTAGCCACAAGCACGTTGTGCTTTACGTCGACATAGAATACCACTTCGTTGTTTTTCATCAGCGCCAACTTTCCGTTGCACTTGATGAGAGAGCATCCCTTCGCTATCAGCCGTCCGTATGAGATCAGGTTCTGCGCGAGTTTCGGGACGTAGTAGACCTCACTGAGCTCCACCTCAGCCGCGACTCCGTCGAATGGAGCTCTCAAAATCACCGATCCTTTCTTGGCTACGTCCATCGTTCGACCATCCGGTAACATGCAGGTGTCCTCACCAGAGCACTGTACTACATTAGCCAGTAGCGCAGGATCATTGACAAGATGTCGACTGGCACCCCTGTCCAGAATTCAGCTCGTAGCGTCCAGGGACTTGAAGTCGTTACCGGCGGCAAGTGCGAACTTTATTGGCTGGTCATTGTTGCTTCCAGCGGAACGATCTGGGCAGTTCTTCTTCAGGTGTCCAACCTTCTTGCACTTGTGACATCGCCGCGTTTCCTCTTGGGACTCAGCCACTGCGTTCACGACTCCATTACCAAGATGCTTTGGCGCTCGATCTTCATCGGTCATCATCTGCGCCCAAACGACCAGTTCGTTTGCGTGTTGGAGAGGATCCGACCGCGTTAAGTCACACTTGGTCATCAAGGGGTGCCTCAAGTCCGGATCCGCGTACTTGACGATGTTCTCCAGCACTAGCGTTGGTGACGCGTTCGTTGCCATCATGAGAGCATTCATGTACAAGAAGTGCTCATTCCACGATCGCGACGCGTCCTTCTTCACGCCAAAGAGCTTCATTTCTTGTTGCGTCGAGAGCGCCCACTGGAACGACAAGTGCATCTGATCCATCACAAACCAGAGCGTCGGCTGCGTGGCCCACATGCGCATGATGTGCTGCTGGAAGAAGAGCTCAGCTTTACCACGTAGATGCTGGCCAAACTTGTTCACCTTGTAGCGCTCAGACCAGGCGTAGCCACACGACTGCTCCGCCATCTCGATCTGCTCAATGAACAGCAGCGCCCACTGCTCGAAGCCGCTCCCAAGTCCCTTGTAGACCTCGATGCCGTCGAAGTTTCGCATGAAGAACTTCGCATCCTTGGCAGGCGGTACTCTCTCGTTGAGATGCAGCGGCGAAGGTCGATGTGCTTGGTACTGCGCAGCTGGTTGTTGCTGCTGTGGCGCCTGTTGAGCTGCTTCTTGGGCCTGGAACGGTGTGCCTCCTGCTTGTTGCTCAGCACCAAGACCACCATACACCCCAGGTGTCTGCGCACCCACGCCGAAGTTCGACGCGCCGAGCTCATGCAGCTGCATGCGCTGCATGCCCAAGCTGCCTCCGTGCTGCAGTGCCTGACGTACACGCTCTGGCCCAGCCCAGCCCCCGCACTGGGTGGCGTGACAGCCGCACGCTGCTGGTGCGTATTCAGCGACCGCTCTAAGCTGTCCACTTTGGCCGTGAGCTTAGTGATGAGAGCCGCGAGCGCTCCAGCGTCCGGCGTGACCTTCTCTTCGTGACGCTCTTCACCCCTTTCGTGGGCGGCGGGGGAGGCGGGGGAGGCGGGGACTGCCTCCGTAGCAGCGTCTGCGTCTGAGTTGTTGACCATTGGGCTCAAAACCTGTTGGTTTGGCACTTGCTCGGTAGAAGGTAGAAGTGAAAGTGAGAAATATATTCAAAGAAGCTGTAGCTGGATTCTACATGCATCTTACCCCTCTAGTGGAGTGTGCTCTGCGTCAGTCCGTCAGTCCGTCCGAGGGTAGGGTTCTAAAATGTAACGCTAATGCGGGCGTTCTACTGGCTGCCGAGCGCAGCGAATGTGGCCCCGATTGGCCTAAAAGCTGCCGAGCGCAGCGAGGCGGCCCAAATCGGCACCTTCTGCAACCCTGCGGGCCTTTGGGCCCGCCTGAGCCAAATCTGCCAACCTACCGTGCGAGTAGTGAAGCGAGCCCGTGGCGAGCGGAACGGAGGCAAAATACAAGGAACGACCTTCATTCTTTCCCGCCGCGTAGCGGCGGCACTCGGCTAGTCTTAAACATCTACTGCAGCAACCTGTCTGTCCGTCACACTAAATTGTCGTGCCTGTCACGCTTTTCCGGACAAATCATTGGATAAAATAATTTAAATATTCCTACTGGCAGCGAAGGTGGCCCCGATTGGCCTAAAAGCTGCCTCGCTGCGCTCGGCAGCCCAAATCGGCCCTTCTGCAACCCTGCGGGCCTTTGGGCCAAATCTGCCAACCTACCGTGCGAGTAGTCTACACAATAACCTGAAAAGACACGCGATCTGATTAGTCCCAATAGTGAAACCAAGGCGAAATGTCGTACCTTCGACATTGTCGATCTGGCTTCCGGGTTGGCTGGCTCTTACATCAATGACCAACACCCGCTTCAGCCCTATAATAGCTAAGTGAATGACTCCAGCAATACGGAAGCGCAATACTTTCGATAACATCCAGAGCACCCCAGGCAACGCACGGCATTAGTCGAATACTCTGTGACGTGATTTCCACTGGCTGCGGCGCTCACTCTTCAATCTTCTCAACAAGCCACAAGTCAGTTGCTGCGCCACCAGCGTCGCCCGCGAATGGCCAAGAAGCTGTGTTTCGCTGCCGGTTTCCCCGATGGTATATCCCGCTGTAAGCAAGGCTCCCGTTCCCAAAAATGCTTTTCTTGGAGCACCATCCAGTGGGGAAATGTTAGCCCTGGGAGCACGTTGCGCGGTCAAGCGACAGATGCCAGAACCAAGTATCCATTAACCTTAGACTTTCATGGGATTTCCGGAAAATAAGGGGTAAAATTCATTAACAAAACATTCATTCTTTAGTCGAGTCGCTTGTGACGTAGCCTACGTCGCTGCTGGCGGGGGGAATGATAGCACCACCTTCTTACCGTTTAGTGTGTCGCGCAGCAGAGTGTTGGCGGCGCGGTGCACGTCCATCTTGCCACCTTTAACTCGGAAGCCGCGGAGCTGCGCGTAGGACTCGCACAATGTGAAGGGGCACCACTCGTCATCTTCCTCCAGAGGCTTGAGCTTGTAGACCTCATGCAGATGCGGCACGCAGTTCTCGGCGATGAATCGCACGGCACTAAATGGCTCACGTGTCTGGGCAATCGGGTAGCTGCCGAACAAGATCTGTAGCAGCACCGGCACGTTGAAGCGCGGGAATACGACACCAGGGCAGTCGCACACGAGCACGCGCGAGAAGACGTCGTCGCTGCGCTTCAGCATTTCTACGCGCTCAAAGTAGTGCGTTTGCAGGTGCTTGGTATGTCCAGGAGTGGCTGATACACTCACGAGCTTGCGGTCAAAGAGGCTGTTAAGTAGGGAGCTCTTGCCGACATTCGGCTCTCCGACAAATCCGATTGTAAGTGTGTCCTTGCGTCTGTCTTCTGCGGTGGAGTCATTATTGAGGTTTTGGTATTCGATAGCACTACTAACTTCCCCAACAGTTCGCATCAGGGTAGCATTGCTGTCGTCTACCTTGTCGCGACTGTAGGCTAGAACTGGAATATCTTGTCCATACCGTGCCTGTAAGTAAGTCGACCACTCCTGGACGCGATTTTTCGCCACCAAGTCGGTTTTTGTCAGCACTAGCATCATGCGTTTCCGCGGGAACTTCGTTCGGATATGCGTCATTAATTGGTCGCTAATGTGCAATAGCGGGCAGCGAGCGTCAGCGAGATGCACCAGCACAGAGGAGCGCTCCACTACGCGCCACAGCTGCCGCCAGACCTCCAGGTTCCGCTCGTACAAATTGAGCTGCGCGCCGTCCTCACGATTTAATGCCTCTTGGTCGAGATAATCCACCCACTCCTTGAAAGCCCGATCGTCTACTTCGTTCAGCTCCCCCGGCGTCATGTCCCGAGACCATTCGGGTTTTGACAATATGCGCGGCTGATTAACTGGACTTTGGATGTCATATGCGTATATTGAGTGCGAATTTCCACGATCCTCTGCATACACGAGCTCTCGCGTCGCGTCCTTCTTCCTTGCCTCGACAGCGGCCTGGGATTCTCTCTGGAAAATCGTGCGTAGGTCCCCATTGCCAAAAGAAACCTGCACCAAACAACGGCACGCTTAAGCACCAGCAATGCATCTGGTGGAAATGAAGTGTCGAGCCTACCGTTTGTGGTGCATGCGGCAATGATAACTCCGTCGCGCAAGTAGTTTCATCATCCACGTCGTGATGCACGTCTCGCTTCTTGGCTCGCTTGTCGCGAAGCTTTTATTGCAGTCAAAGCAAGACAAAGCTATAGAAGTACGAACAACACCTAGAGGACCGACATATAGTGCATCCGTACCTGCTGCTTCTTGGCCTTCCCGCTAAAGGGCTTCTTCCTCGGCGGCATCGTTATACAGGTACAGTGTACTTATGTACTTCCTCCGTCCGAAAAAATAAGCAGGATGGGCGGGCAAAATTAATTTTAAGAACAGAAACCCTTTAAACGAGCAGCTGATTGGTCTTAATTGCTGTTTAGATTACGGCAATTGTTTTGGTCGACGTTTGAAGCAAATCGGCCACCTGGTCGCAAAGTTATCGCTATGCAAAGTTCGTGGTGAAGATGTGAAATTTGAAAATCTTTCGCCAGGATGTCAATTTTACACGAAATGTCATAGAAACCTGTAGAGATGTAGCGCGTGAGATTCTCTGTTGAGCGGTGCCGTGTAGAGTGCCTAAATATTTCTACGGTCTGGTTTGCAGCGGCCGGCAACAACAGTATGGGAGTACTTAAGTGGAATACGACAGTACTATCAAATGACTTGAATTTGTAAGCATGCCGCTTTTATTTTCGGACACGGTTTAAATAGATGCCCCGCTTATATTTTCGGACAGAGGAAGTATTACTAGTATATTTGTAAATTTTGTATGTGACGCACACTACATTCTCATCCCTTGGCATGGCTACACTTTCTTGAGTGGCTACAGCTTCTTGCGGGGTGTAGCACTCGCGTTTGCGTTAATGGCGGGCGTAAAGGTACACTCACGCAGCTCGCGCTCTTGTCGCATGCGCTGCAGCCGTGCGTTGCGCTTGCGCACGTAGTCCGGATCGTACAGACGACTGGATACATTCACGACGTCTGTCTTGGCGGATGTCATCGACGCCTGCGAACCCGAGCCGATCGAGTCTCGCGACGAGAATGAATCACGTCTGTTGATTCGCGGAGTAAACGAGCAATCAAGACTCTCGCGACGGTCGCGCATGCTTTTGAACTTCTCCTCGCGGTTCTTGTAAAAATCTGGCTGATATAGCCGAGAGAAAACGGCACCGCCGTCCGTGCGAATGCTTGTGCGCGACTTTTGCGAGCCACATACAGAGGCGGTAAAGTTCTGCGCCTTGGGCGTTGGAAGCAGCGAAATGTTCTCTCGTGTCAGAGCTGCCACACGTGTGGGCCGCGGCACTGTACGGGAGACAGCAGGCGTCAAGTTTTCGCGTCGTTTTGGGGGTGGTGTCTTCAGTCCCGAGCTATCAAACTCACCGCGAGCCATCGCACCTACACTTTTGTAAGGCGACATGTTGCCCACATTGGTAGCGATCTTTCGTCCAGAGTAGATGCCAGTCTTGAAGGTGTCAGATCCGCCGCTGACCGTGCGGATTTTTTGTTTGTAGCGGGGTGGTGTACGCTCAGCCGAATAGGAGTCGCGAACCGCGTAGTCGTCCGTGAAAATGCTGGGGTCATCATGTCCGATGTCACGCACCACCTGCTGCAGGCGAGCCACTTCCTGCATGAGATCGTAGACCGTCGGGGGCTCGTTTCCCTCCTCTTCGTCGTCTGCGTCCGTCATAATAAGTTTGTGGCGCACCGGAGCAGGCGGGGGCGATCTGCCAGCGTTGTGTCTGAATTACCGGTTACCTACAATGTGCTTGGATACATTTTCGTTGGTGTGTCAAACATCGTTTGCACCATCACTCCTGGGCCAAAGAGAAAAATTCAAAATGTATGCCCCAGGCATTTTTTTACATGTAGTTACCGGTAGTCTGACGACTATATTTTGTGTATCCCGCTGTTTGATTGGACAGAAAAAAGTTCGGCCCAATTCTGACCTATCCCTTTGATATAAGTTCTACGGTACTACAGACTTTTGTCCGCTTCCTCTCCCCACAGTGTGAAAAGTAACAGACGCGTCAACGGAGCTGTCGGGCTACTTGCTGGCTTCGCACCCCTCAACCACCAGTCAGCGACGCAACCTCCTATCCTGCTTGTGTGGCACGTCTGCGTCCTTCGTAGTGAGCAAACAGAGCAAGAGATCCACCGAACCAAGCAACGCCTACAGGTGCAATAGCAACATGGCCACCCGCACACAGGACCCGCCGACGACGGGGGGCGAGACGCCCACGCCTTCTTCGCGCCAACTGACACCCAAGAGTGACAGCAAAAGCATCACGCCGATGCGTGAGCCCATAGAAAGCACCGTGGAACCTCCTCCGCCACCTGGTGCTACGGGTGCGCTGCGCTGCGTGCTATGCGGTCTGGAGGCCAGCTCGGCCATCCGCCTTGTGCGCTGCAAGAACTGCGGTAGCCACTTCCACGCCCACTGTGCCAACCTGCCGCAGCCGCCCGAGGAGGGAAACCTTTTCTGCCGCCACTCGTGCTACCTCAATTCCAAGCAACAGCAGTCCAAGGCCCCCGTTTTCAGACACGGCGACTACCCCCGACTCGCCACGCAAATCCAGAGTGTGCTACAGGAGAAGTCCGACAGACTGCAAGTTCGACGACAACTTCCGCTACAAGAAGTAGCGGGTACCAGTGGGCGTGGCCGTGGCCGCGGACGTGGAAGAGGAAGGGGCCGTGGCCGAGGGAGAGGTCGAGGCAGAGGACGAGGAGCTGGAACGAAGCGTCCGTTGCAGGAGGACACTGACGATGAAGTCAGCCACCGCCATCCTCGCCTCTCATCAATCGATCGGGAGCGTGAAGAAGGGACTCCGAGAGCCAACGATGCGGACCCGTTCACTCCACGAAATACCACTGGTTTGTCTTACCCCACTGACCAGCGACCGGATGCTATGGCAGCGCATGGAAGTAACAGTAACAGCAACACGCCGCTTCACGAAGATGACGAAAGGAGTCTGCAGCCGCCGCCACGCACCGCGTCTCCCGCTTCTCGCCGGCCACTACGAGGATTCGACACGGAGCAGGACAGTCACTTCCGGAATGCACCCCCACCCAATATGCCTTCGTCTTCTTCAATGCAGATGTCGCGTCAGCCCCGAGGCGAGTACTCGTCAATGCCAGCCCCCGACCAACCAGGCGCTGACGGTTCCCGACCTCGCCACGGATTCTCGTCCCCTCAGTATCCCATTGCAGGCCCAAGACAAAGACAGGAAGACCCACGATCGCTTCAAGTGGTGCAACCGTACTTTGATGACCGCTCTTCGGGGCAGATGCCGCCGACACAAGCGGGACCGAATCAAAGAATTCCACCAGGAATGCAACCACCACAGCAGCCAATGCACGACGAGCGAGCACCGCTTCAGCGTGACTTTGAGCCGCCATATCGTGGAGCACCAACTGGCCCGGCACTACCTCCAGCTCCTTATAACGATTCGCAGCGTAGTGATCTACCGTCAGGCCCACGCAAAGGCCCCCCACCAAACTTCAATGGCGCTCCCTCGAACAATTACGGTCCTCAAGGACAATTTCCAGGGCAGCCTCCGTCTCAACTCCCCATTCGTCGTCACACGCCGAACATTCCGTGGCGTAATCCATCAGCTTTCCCGGCGGAAATCTATGAGCGATTCAGCTGTCACTCCGACGATGCGAACCACGTATTCCGGATTGATCTTTCCCCAGTGTTCGCTGAGAAAGCCACCAAGTTGTATCAAAACGAGATTGATTTCTTTTTCCGGTGCTTCGAGTCGCCAGATGTGAGCTTGGTTGTCAAGGGCATGAGCAGTGAGCTGAACCAGTACATTTGGGCTTGGCCCTTCATTCTCGAGTGCTGCGGTAACGACACACATTTTGCGTTCGATCACTTCCAGTTCAAGCGAAATACCGAAACAGATATGCCAGAGCTGGCCTATGTGGGGGTGCTGCAATTATCTATGGCATCCTTTAACTCGTATCTGGAGAAGTATTTATCGAATGTACCCGGCAAGGATGTGGTTGTGTTGGAGGACCACGTCACAAAAAAGACGATTACTATTGTTGCATCCGAGAACATTATTGCGCTGAACAACTTGGTACTTGCCAAGTACTGCGCACAGGTATGTTCGTTGCTCCACATTTAGTACCGCGGACCTGACGGTCTCACTACTATTTTGCGTGTGTTCTTTTGCTTGTGCTCTTGTGACCCTTTCAGCTGTACAATGATCTCATCAAGGGATTTCAGTGGGACGTCTTTGCTGGTGGCATCCACTGCTTGCTGCAATATCTTCCACAGAGCAGCTGGCATGAGAAGTTTTCCAGTCCACGTCTCCATTTCAACTTTCCTGGCGCCCGAGGCTCTCTAGCTGACCCAGGCAATGGCACCGCAGATACTGCATACCAGGTTAGAATCGAGGACGCATGGTCGAAAGAACTTGGAGCTGGACACTGACGTATATTTGTGCGATTCATGCGCCGTGTAGGTGCTCGTGGGATCGTTGGAGCTAGTTATATTTGAGCGGTTCGAGCCGCAGTACAAGGCAGACTTCGACCTCATTCTACAGCGAGCCGGCTACGATGCTGAAAGGAAGACTATGCTATTAGATGCTCATCTTCGTGCCCTCAGGTAAACCCATTCGCAAAGATAATACGCCATATGGTGTCGTCTCCCGGAGTTTAACCTAACTGTAATCCATTGGCTTGTTTCCAGATCTGCGGGCTTTGCGTTCTCGACGGTGCTTTTGCAAGATGGAGAGTTTGTTCATGTCAACAAGGTGCGTTATTTAGGAGGAGTATGTGCTCTTAATACCCGTGCTACAATGATTCATTGTGTTGCTGGTATTGGGAACAATCTAGGGCCGTCAACATTTCTGGCGTGTCGTAGAGAAAGACAGCGTCAATGGCTCTATCAACGCTCCATGTGTATTCCTTTCATGGGAGTGGGTTTACCAGGGTGTTTCTCAACGCGGTATCTCCACGGAATGCTGGGTACGTCTGGTGTCGAGGTTTTCCGTTTTCTAATCACTGTGGTCTGCATCTAACTTACGTGTGCTCCCTTGCCTTTCTCACATGCAGTTCGCTATGAAAAACGCTAGTATGTGCCCTGACGGATGGGTATTTGACCCGCGTCGGGCGATTGTTGAAGCTGCTAAGGTGCGCAATGCGTTTGTATCATTACTGGGGTGGTTTTCATCTGACTGACACTAGTGATAATAAATTTAGTGTGGCGTAGCAATCGTGCGCACTGGTCAATTCTTACGCTCAGCGCTAGCATCGGGGCGTCCGCGGACGTCCCAAATGTTGTCGTTCACATCTGCTCCGGCGCCCATCGATCGAGGTGTAGTTGCACAGCGCCAAGCTCAGATGGTACTCTTTCTAGAGTCAATTCTACCGTGCCTTGACGCCATCGTCGAAGAGGCATACGAGTTGGGTCTATCAAGCACTGACGATAGTGACGAGTTCCGCAAGGTGTTTGACGATGAAAGCATGTGGCGTACGGTGGATGCTGATCTGCGTGACCCACCGGCAGACAATGCTGACAATTACTCGTGCGGAATTTGCGAGCGCGAAATCACCAATCTCTACAAGCAATGCCTTGGTTGTGCCGTGTACTCTCGTCGCTGCCGACCCAACATGGCGTTTCCGATCTTTCGTGTCTGCCTCCGCTGCCACTCTCAGCCGGAGCAGCACCACTTTAAGCCGCGCGCTATTGCCTCGTATTACGACAAGGTACTGAGCTCGGAGGGCCACACGGGAATCCTGCCGGCGACTCGCCGCTACCAGTCGGTACGAAGCTACTTTAAATGCCGCTGCGTGCCATCGAACCGCTGCGCCCACTGTGGTGGCTGCGAATCATGCAGCTGCCTGTGCCACACGCTGTTCCAGACTCGATTCCGTTTTACGGCTCCTGGTACGTTACGATGTCTTCAATCTTTCGGCGAGTAGGCGGGGGCGAGCTTTGTTGGTCTGATTGTTGATCGACGAGATAGCTTATCTTTAACCATGCCTGTGCTGCTACATTGGTTTTGCCTTGGTGGTGTTGACGAGTGCCTGCTTTATCAGACTAACGGTGTGATATTGTTGTGTGTGCCTGCGCAGCCAACCTAGAGAGGCTACGAGCGGACGTGGATGCCGTTGTCAAGTACCACCAGCAGCAACTGCAACAACAACAGCAGCAGCAACGTTAGCGTAGCTAGGCGCCTTTTTGTTCACTAGTTTGCGTTGACCGACAGGCATGCGTTTCGCTTCACTCGGCGCATTCTGCATCGATCTCGTGCATCGGTCGGTCCTAAGAAGAACCGCCTTCACTCAATCTTTACATCACGAGTTGACAAGTTGTGTGTGCCCTAGGATTGCTCGTTGACATGTGTAAGAGAAAATTTATACTGGGAATAGCGAGGTGTGATGTCCTGCAACGTTAGCCCTCGCAAACGAAGGGGCATAATGCCCCCTATCAGTGATAGTATCACGGTACTATCGCTACGGCTTAAATTTAACAATAAAAAAGCAAATGCTACGTTAAGAAAATTCAAAAGGGTCTATGTTGCAATCTGCCGGGTGATCGTTGTGTCACGGTTTCTTCACGCCATTTGAGACAATTTTTTAACCTAATATTTATATGCCCTAAATCCCTGCGAAACCGAAGTAAAGCCCCTATCTAGAGTGAGAAGGTCCAACAAGTGACGGCTCTTCACTACTATGGTATTCATCGTTTTCGTTTCTTGGTTTCATGAGTTTGAACAATCGAACACCTAACCATTCATAGAACAAACCGTGTGATCGACATCACTGGTAAGACGTTTCATGGCCCTGACTTGCGAAATCATTGATAAAAATATATACAATTACTACAGCATTTTCCATGACATTGTGGTTGTCGCTCGCATGCGTATTAGCTCGGCACAGCATTCATTTACACGTTTGCTGTGCTTATTTGCAATCTTCAAGTGTTCGCCACTGAGGTCATTGTATCCAGCTCAGCACTGCGCTTTTATAGGTTTTCGTTTTGCTCTCAGAAACTCATCGCGCTCACTGTTGCTACAGTGAAAGTACTCGATCGTTTGATCAAGGTGCACTTAAGCGTTTATGAGCTTCGTCCTGACTTCGGCTTTTATGCTTGCGGGCTAGCAAACCCATCAACACACCAACGACGTCTGCATACGGCGATCCAACAGCCTTTGTCATAGCTAACTATCATCACTTGCAACGCTTGGTACCAAATCGACTTATGAGAGCAAAGCGTGTAAATGACTTGAACCGATTATGGATGCTTACACATACAAAGAATGATGCTTATCAGAATGTATACACTACACAAATTGCTATGATAAGCTTTGGTAATCTCTTAAAAGAAAAGCTACCACAACCTCCGTATTCTGATACTCGTTCACGATGTAGCGAAACGTCTTGAACCATTCCCTCATATATTCTTTGGACTTCCCTTAGAACGTGCTCTTCAAGCATGGCGGGGCGGCGCAAGCGAAGCTTAGAGATTGCATCTGTAGATTCAAGCAAGCGCACGAGACCTAGGCGAGGTTCAGCGGCGTGTGGAGCAGAGGGTACCACTTGACTCGATAAGTCAATGTTCTTCCATCCATTTGAAAAGAGCTTCGCGAGGAAGGATGGACCTCAAAGCGATCCCCACGAAATGCGCTGGACTCGTTCTATCGCTACATTCGTCCAGGATCGGATTTAAAGGGCGAAGAGGGAAAGGATTTCTTCGCAGAGGAAGCATTGCTGAATTTTTATCTACGCAAAATTGCTTTATCGCCATCCACCCGTAAGTTCGTATGCACTGTATAATATATTAATTTGATGACTAATACTTAATTAAACTCTAGGTACAATCCACGCATGTCAAAAGTCGTACAATGAACGGCAAAGCAAAACGTTAGCCACAAATGCTGAAAATGCGGTATTCGGAGAATTTTCAGATGAATAAAAAGCGCTCGTAATGGAAATACGATGAGTAACGAGGGTGTAGCCACCACCAAACGGGTTGCAGACGCAGAGGAAATCAGTACTGTGATGGGAGATGGCAATAGCGATAATGAGCACCTCAGGTGTGGTTACATCGACCGACAACCAGTCAGAGCCCACAATGGAAGCGATTGATACAAGTCCAATATTAAGAAGTGCTACCGGGGATACTTCCGATTATGTCTCTAACGTAACCGGCAATACTTCGACGGATCAACGTAAGTGGCGGTTGCTTAGCTACAATCGTCTCCGCCGCCTCACTACATTTAATTATTTTACACTTTTTACCGCAGCAATTTCCCGCTCAGAAAGTCGCATGTCACCACTATCTGCTCTACCATCGCACAGACCAGCCGGAAGATCATCAGCTGCGTGTGTCCCCTCACTTAATGTGAGCACGTTGGTTGCGCTCTCTCTGTCTTAGGAGAGCTGGATAAAAGACAGGATTTACAAGAAAGTTAGCGCGGCTTATATAGTCGGGCGGGTATGTTGCACTGTGAAACCTAAAACAAAGCCAGTAAAGAGCCAAAAAGGAGCAGCTTAGACATAATAAAGCGACACCTTTTCTCTTTCAAACGCGGTGGATTGATTCTCAATGTCAATCTAATTCGGAGGACATCTCGCTCGGCCTAGTACAGAAACGACATGCTAGCTACAACCTTTTACTGGCGACTACAACTTCACTGCACTGGCAAGATCTCTGCGAGGCCACTTATGATGACCGGCTTGCGAGTACAGACAGCCTAGAGGAGCTACAAGAAGTTTCAGCTCACTACAGTCCCAGCCAAGTGACGCGAACGAGCTCGGCGGAGGTGGAGGCGATTAAAACCATGCGATTTGACCCAAAAGCCCACATGGCACAACCTCGTGATCTTTTTACATGCGGCGATGGAGCGACCGAAACTAAGCTTAAGGACGAGTACCGATACAATTTTGAGCATTCGGCTTCAGCGAGTTTTTTGCGCATCCCCCTCTATACTTCTGGAAACAAGCTGCTTTCGAGACCAATGCATACGTAAGCGCCAATGTGGTGAAGCGCTTGGAATTCTGGAGAATGAAAAACAGACGTGAAATTGGCCAATCAGATGCGAGGAATCGCCAACTGCAAGTACGCAGTGACAAGCCATCACTCTGGTGGACCATCATTCTGGGTCACCTGCATTCGGATCCGTACCGTCTCTCTTGACAGGCTCTAAATGATGCAATCATTTCGATAACACAGATTCAAATCGGCTTGAGATCGCCGTCATTTCGATACGCGATCTACGACCGATTTGTACTAATGTGTCGGGTAAGTACGATATGACCTTCAAGGGCCAGTTTGGCGATCATAGGTTACGAAAGGTAGTGGCTGCAAATGCTTTAAGTATTGAACAGAGTGACATCTGCCTAATCAGCAACAAGTGTCTTCAGTACCAGACTTAGAGACTATAGCGGGAAGTATATTAGCCCACACAGTAATCAAGTTATTTCTACCAAGTACGCACCGGAGTTAGCTGCTTGGACGGTCGACCGTCTTCGCTCTCGCTTTCAACGCCCCCGCTATAGGGTGCGGTCAAGTCTAAAACGGAATGGAACAAGACTGTAACGGGGAACATAGCCCTAAGTGTACCCCTAGTTACATGAAGTGTGACACGTCACACTTCAGAAGTATGATACGTCATACTTCGGGATATTTGGTACAAGGTACCAAGGTCGTCCGAGGCCAACCATTGGCTGATGACATTGTTTTTCTATAGGTGACTTATAATTTGTATATTTAGCTCAAGCTTAGCCTACCTCTCAATATACTCAGTTTACAATCTACCTTAAATTGGTCACACTTCGCTCCCTTTCGGTAAAAGGGGACCTGTGAACTACCGTTCACTAAGAGTTTGTATACTCTCGGAAGCCAACTTCCTCTAGCGCAAGGTGCTGTGTCACCCCGTCACACTTGGTAACACTCGTAGTCAATCTACGCCAACGCGGGTAGACTACCTGAACCTCTCTGAAGTTCGTTGCCATGGATAGGAACGACTTCTCCCATCTGAACGACTCACAGCTCGAGTCGGTTCGGAAGATAGCTGGCATCTTCGGGATGGAGGCCCTGCAGAGCCTGGTGGCGTCAACACCGGCCGAGCAGCTCGAGCGGGTCAATGCGCTTGACGCTTACGAGCAAGGGTTCAACGCGCATGTGCGGGAGAACCTGCAGGCTCCGGCGGCGAAAACAAATCCGCCACACCCGAAGCCAATACGGCTGAAGGTTAAGCCGTATGAAGGGAAGGAAGGTGAGAACCTTCACTTCAGGGTCCGAGAGGTAGAGCTCGCGATGGACGCGGCTCTGATCTCGACCGAGCAACTTCGTGTTGCTTTTGCACTCTTCAACCTAAGCGGTCGTGGTAAGAGTTTGGTGTACACGCGGGAGGCAACATCCCCTGGATGTTTTACCGACTCCCACCCACTTGGCGCCCCACCTTACGAGCAAAGGCGGTATCTAGTATAGACACCTCGGCACCACTATCTAAGAGTAGGATTGTTTTATCATTGTTGACCTTGCCTCCTACTTTGGCTTGTCTGAACAATTTTCCGGGGGCATGGTACTTCCAGTATCCACGGGACCCCCCTGTCAGCAGATCCATAGATCCAACATCTTTAGATCCACGGGATCCAGTGACCTGACAAACCTTAGGTGGATCTGCAGTGACCTCGCTATTGGTAGGCTCAAACCATTGGTCATGTTGTCGTTTCTCCCAATAACCGCGCGCTTCTCCCCTCTGTAGATCAAGGGTTGAAGAGACTTCGGATCTGGCAAATTCGTCCACAAAGTAGAGACGTAGCAAATGACACTTCATGTAGATCACGTGTATTATCGACTGAATCTAGGGGCCTGCTACCTGGATCTAGCGACGTCTTGTTCACAAATCCATAAATGCTATACCTAGAACGCTCGGCTCGTACCGGATTCAAACCCGGCGAGCGTCCTAGTT